CGTTGCCGAGGCGGCCTCGCGTTAGCGATAAAATTAAAACTGACAATATTAAAATAATAACGGTTACAATAGTAATAGTTATAGTAAGAAGAAGAAGAACAATATGGTATGTAATCATCATCATCATCACCCCCATACTTGTCAGCATCATCATCGTCACCATCATCATCATCAATATAATTACGCTCACTACTGCCTTGCTGTAGCTTCCCGAGGCAGCCGCTTCCGGTAAAGGGCAAAGGACTTCTCCGTGGCATCCAAGCCTTTGCTCATGGTTGAGGGGTTCTTGGGGAGATTAGGTTCTATAGGGGCGAGAGATATGCGGTTTGAGGTTTCATGGTTTAGGCCTTTGCATTCGAGGGGTCTGAACCACACGGAGCGAAGCACGGAGTGCGGCGTCGGAATATGTTGGTCGTTATCTTGCTCGCGATGGATGACGACAATGACCGCGATAAGGCTGTAACGTAGGAAAACCAGGCGTGGCTGAAACCCTGAACCCCATGGCACCAATCGAAAGAGGGCCCTTTCTCCGAATCTCTCGTGGCCTTCGATGGGGATTATATACTATAAACAAATTACTAAAATATACTGTAATATACTTCTGATATACGATAATAGACTACAATATACTATAATATAACATAATATACTATAATATACCAAAATATACTATAATATACTATAACATACTATAACATACCAAAATATAATGTAATATCTTGATAGTGTCGTCTAACCCATAATATACTCTAGGCTCTCCGGCGCCCGAAGCGTGCGTAGGTGCCGTCGGGGTCGAAGAGCCGCATTAGGAGCGTGTTGATCCGTTCCTTGGTCGGCTGAGGCTGCACTGGACCTTGCCGAGCATGCTTTCACAAGTCAGCAGAGGACCCGAAAATCAGGACGCAATACATGATACATGGTACATAGTTGCAGCTTCTCAAGACGTCTCTGAGCTAAGGGCAATCAGATCCTGTCGCATGAACCACTCGCCATGCTGCTCCCCTGGAGTGAAACCAAATCATGTTAGCCACTTCGCGCTGCCAGCCATTACCATGCGGTGAGGGCCGCGCCGAAGAGACTGGGGTATTGAGACTCGAAACAGACTTCGATGCCATACTTCAACCTCATGGCCCGGCAAAACTCAGAGATGCCAGGTCACCCAGAGCTCTGCAAATGTCAAGGTCATGCTCTCTCAGGCCGCAGGCGTCAGCAGCATGCAAGGCATTGCAAGGCTGGCACCTGTGGCTGCTTCAACTTCGCAGGACATTGAACATTACAGCAACAATCATGATAGCAACATACTTAGAAACGACACGCTGATCGCCTTTCGAGGAATCTGGACTTAAGGACAAGGGTGCAAGTTCCCCATGGCTATAAACTGCAAACACGAATCCAAGAACACGTATACGAAAGGCACTGAAACCGCTCTGGGTCACACCTCAAGCTTGTAAACATGCTGCCCCAAACCCTAAACTTCCTAAACCCTGAACCCTGCACGCATCACAAGGGAGCACCCAGCTTCGAGCTTTTGTGCCGGCGCTCCAACTTGACCCAACTCCTCGGAGAAGCGAAGTGACGAGAGATCACAACCAAAACCGAAAGCCGACAGAGCATCCCACCATCACTCGTGTAGAAGCTACTGCATTGCCGTTGACACCAGCACACGTACCAACATGAGTATTCGCACAGAATGAGCTTTCGGAACATACTTGGCGTAAGCTTGGACACTCAGCTGAAATACTTCTTGTAAAGCTGCAATCCTACATTCTACGAGCCCCTAAATCCTTAACCCCAAACTCCGAGACTGCACAGTGTCGCAAAAGTCTACTGGGACGCCGGCTCGTGGGCCGTCGTCACGAGCCCCTGCAGCGCAAACCTGGCTACTGGGTTTAGGGTTTAGGGTTTAGGATTTAAGGTTTAGGCCTTTGGGTTTAGGGTTTCGGCGCCGCTCTGGCACGGCTCATCTATGCTGTAGTATGCTATGATATGCTACACTGAACTATTGTAAACTGTCATCTGGAGTTTTGGGGCCTATGGTCTATTTGGGGTTCGGGGTCGGGGTCTGGGGTTGATAGGGTTTAGGGTTTAAGGTCTAGGGGTGTAGGGCGTTTTCTGTATCGACTCTTTTTCCTCTGCTGGTTTGGGCTTTCGGGTTTAAGGTTTTAGGTTGGGCTTGGGCTTTTCGCAAGAGCTCAGACCCGCGCTGGCTGAGCCGTGGCTGGTCCGGCCTCCCATGGAAGTTCTCTACTTCTTAGGGTCGAGGGTTTAGGGGTTTAGGGGTTTAGGGTTTAGGGGTCGTGATTCGAGGCTGGACTTCTTGTGGGTAGAACTGATGATCACGAATAGCTTGTGCCTCCGGCAGCAGCTGAAGGCCAACCAGTACAGCAAATGGGCCAGCCTTCAACTCGCCACAGCAAGGCTTATGCGAACAGGCTGGGGTTCTATATACTACTATGTCGGATACTATACGTAGCTATGACTATGCTACTTTATAGGGCCAGCACATACCATGAGCAACTAGGCATGCCACTGGCCGAGCTGTACATTCACGGGGACATTAAAAAAAGCGTGCTGAGTTCGGTGCACACCAATCAGCTGACAAACCTCCGTCCTTGGCTCAAACATGAAAGTTCGAAGCCCGAGTTCTCAAAGACGGAAAGGAAATATGCCACATAAAGATGATAGTGACATTGATGATGGCGTTGATAATGATGTTGATGATGAAGATGATGATGCCCATGACCGTGATGACAGAAATTATGACGATGATGATGATGATGACGATGATGATGATGATGATGAGGGTGATGACAGTGATGACGGCGGTGACGATGATGATGCTGATGTTGATGCTGATGCTGTTGCTCATGATGATGATGGTGATGATGGTGATGATGATGATGATGATGATCCTGGGTCCCAAAGATTCAAGCTGAAACATAGAAATGAGCCTACAGGGGGAAGTGTTTCTTTTTGCCCCCAACCATGTGCTAGTGGTCAAAAACACACGGCTTCCAAGGATATACAACTCGTGCGTGCCTTTGGACGGAGCATAGCCTTGTGCCACAGGGGGGAGCAGGGGGGCAATCAAGACATGCTTTGCAATACTTTGGGGCGCACAGGGGCAGAAAAAACATATTCCGGTGTCAGAATCAACTGTGCCTTCTAGGCTATACCGCTGATAACTTATAGATCAGAATAACCACTTGCACACGCACTGATATATGTATTGCTGTTAAGTGTTGTCTAAGCTTGTACCATGGCAAACAGTAATCGTCTTTTCCTAGACAGAGCACTGTAGCAGCAGTCACATACAACGGATGTACGATCACATGCACTAATTCTACAACCCTGACCCCTAAACCCTAAACCCTAAACCCCAAACCCTAATCCCTACACCTGCAGCACAGGCAAAGGAAGCTCGCAAGGTCTTCACTCTGAGGCCAAGCACTCCCAAAGCGCTCCCCGGAGGTCCTCCAAGAACCTAATTTTTGAAATTTATAGAGCTGCTGTTTAGGGTGTAGGGTTTAGGGTTCAGGGTTTTGGGTTTAGGGTTCGGGTTTTAGGGTGTAGGGTTTGTTGTTGAGGGTTTTGGTTTGTAGAGTTTAGGCTTGAGAGTTTGGGGTTTCACGTTGGGTTTGGGGCCTGCAATTTGGAGCTTAGGCTTGCGAGTTTAGGGTGGAGTTTGGGGTTTGCGACGTAGAATTTAAGGTTTAAGGGTGGGGTTTGGGGTTTAGGGCTTCCGCTTCAACTACAGACTGCTGCGTAAAGCGATGACTTAACTTACTTACGAACATAAACTTCAACGAAGAAGGGAAACAAGAGCATCATTAACAATAACAGTGGCGATAATTGATGACTATTGACAAAATACACTCCCTGCGACTGTCCCCACCTAAACCCTAAACCCTCAACCCTAAACCCTACGCCCTAAACATTAAACTGCACACCCTAAACCCAATGCCCTAGACCCTAAACCCTGTACATTTAAACCCTAAATCCTAAACCCTAGACCCTAAACCCTCGACCCTAAGTGACCTGGGTTTCCCGGCTGCGGCTCTTTCCGGCCGCTGGAGCTCAAGAGCTCCAAGGGAAGCTGGTTTTGCACCTGAAGGCTTTCTGGGCCTAGGGTTTGGGCGCCCTAAACCCTAAACCCCACTTAGGGTTTTCTTAGGGGTTTGGGCGTTTTTTTATTATCAAGAGACCTTTTCCGTCACCAAAGAGCCCATGCACAGTAGGGTTTAGGGTTTGGGGTTCAGGGTTTAAGGTTTGGGGTTTAGGGTTTGCGCATTAGGGTTGAGGGCCTCTGGCGTAGAGCTTTCGGGTTCCTTCTGATAGGGCCCCATAGGGCTTAGGGTTTTTAGGGGTTTTGGTTTTCGTTTGGGGGTGTTTAGGGTCCATAGGGCTTCATAACAGAGGAACCTTCCCTGAAATCATAGAGACATACTGTTGATGATATGAATCCTGCATTATCTTAAGGACCCTAAACTATGGGAATTATGGCATATTTGCTTATTAATATGGGTAATGCAGGAGTTATATCATCAACCGTAGGAGTCGGGTCGCTCGCCTGAAAAACTGGATGTGTGGGAGCTTCTGGGTTTGGGGGCTCGAGACTTAGGGTTCAGAGGTCAGGGTCTAGGGCTCAGAGCTTGCAGCTTTAGGGTTCAGGCGTCATGGTTTGAGTTTAGGGTTAGTTTAGGGTTCCCGTTTAGTGTAGGGTTCCCTTGACCCTAAACAAAACCCTGAAAGCAAACCCTCAACCTCGCAAGGGGCACGACATGAACAGCACTAGAAACTGCAATGACGGTGCTCGTCTGGTAGGTCCGGCACCCAAGACTTCATTTGCACTTGGATTTGCCTCAGCGCTCGATGCAAACAAACCAAGCAGGCACCTTGCTTCCACTGGTCTCCGTTTCAGGCGCTTCTCGGCCACCAGAAATACCAGTAAGGTCAGATCTTTTGCCGATTTCTCTCAACCCGGAAACATGTTGCAGCCACGCAGCTCGATCTCTATGGACAGGGGCTCGCTCACCTGCATTCAGCAAATCCGAATACAGCAACCCGAAGCCCTTGACCCAAGACTCGAAGCCCCGGAGACCCAAACCCGGAACTCGAATCACCTTAAGCCCCTGAGCCCTAAGTTAAGCCCTAAACCCCAGACCTCCCCTAAACCCCTAAACCCGAAAAAAATGAACCCACTGAACCGCTCCAAGCGCCGCACCAGCTCGGCTTGCTCGCCCTGCAGCTTCATGTCCAGCGGCCCGTGGGGGGGCCAGGGCACAATCCTCAAGTCGAGCTGCTCTGTGAGTGAAGTGTCGATAATGAGGAGGTTCGGCTCGGGGCTTCTGGGGTTTAGAGCTTTTAGGGTGTTGGGTTAGGGGTTTCGGGATTGGGGTCTTGGACTCAGGTGTTACGTGACACTGTGCAGATCAAGGTCCTGTTATCGGGATTTCAGGGTGAACTTGGGCGGTGCATTCGGCTTCAGGCTCTGAACCCAAACCCGAGCCACCTCCACCTCTTAAGGGTACCATAAGGGCTCTTTTGAGGACACCACAAGGGCCCCTTGTAAAGGCACCATAAGGGCTCTTTTAAGGATACCATAAAAGGGCCCTTGTAAAGCTACTATAAGGGCCAGTTTAAGGGTTCTACAAGCCTAAAGCCTCCTGGCAGATCGAAGCCGGCTGCTCAGGCACAGGCTGCGTGCGCCGGCTCCCTTCCTGCGAAACGGTTTCGGACCCTTTAGGCCGTTTAGGGGCTTTGGGTTTAGGGAGTTTAGGGCTTAGGGTTTAGGGTTCAGGGTTTCGGCTTTGACGGAGGTTTTGGGTCCCAGAGCCCCCAAAGAAGAAGGGAGCCCGAAAATAAGGCTGCTTGTGGCACGACCCTGTCGAGCTTGACAGGGACATCTTGTCTCACCTCCCATCCTATGCTAACCGCTAACCCTGAAACCCCAAGCACTGGACCCTTCATCGGCAAGCCCGAGGGCCTGCAGAGGGCGGTCGCAAGCGAAGGGTAAGATGTACTTGCCCTTGAGCGACTCTAACTCCTGCATCCAACACTCACGGCCTCAATTTCTCGCGCGAGAGGGCCTTGGGGCTGAGAGCTCAGAGTACCCCCGGAGCTTTGAGCACCGTTGAAGTTGGCTCTTGGGGCTTGGCACGCAGGTAGGTTTTAGGTGCAAAGACTCGGCAAAGACCTAACCTGAAACTTTCCGGTCCGGCAGGTAGTTCAAACAGCCCTTTCCCCCCCCTAGCATCGAAAAAAAGAACACCTGCAAACTTCGCCTGAATCAACGCTCGTCGTGCCCGGACCCGGAGACAGAATGAATAAGATGAGTCCTCGTTCCGACTCACTAGCTGCCCCCCCATACGCTCCTGCTTGAAGCTCTGTTGCTGGTCACTGTCCAGGCTTTTGCCGTGTGCAGCCGCATGGCCGGCACCTGCAGGTTCAAAAAAAGAACTGTCCTGTGAATTCTTCGGAAAGGTGACAAACATCCCTAAACCACAAGACCTAACCGCCCTGACTCTCAAACCTTACACCTCAAGCCTCATATAAACCTGCCTTAACATTATCTCTTCGAGTGGGTGGCCTGTGACAGCTGTCGCGCGCCGGCGGACTCTCTCTTCGTACTCGGCCCTGCAGCAATCCGACCCAAGACTCACTGAAAACATCATGCCCAACACAAGTCACAAAGGATCGAGATAAGTTTCCAGAATGTATTTCTACGTGTGTGGTTTTGTGATCCATCATTTACTACTTAGTTGATCCGCTATATGACATGAAACGAGGAGATTACAGCAACAAGCTCAGAATTCCGCAACCTTGTCATCAGAAAGCCCCGAAATATCGCAAGAGATATTGTTCCAGAACCCTTCTAAAACCCTCACGAATCCCCCTCATACATCCCGATTCTTCTAAAACCCTCATAAATCCCGATAACTCACTGCATGTTGCTTCAGTACGTCTCTTAGAGCAGGTGGGGCCCGGGCTTGTGCTTGCGGACTTCGGCCAAGGTAACATCCGCCTTCTGCCTGGTCACAGCGACATGGGGCTTGGGGCTTAGGGCTTGTAGGGCTTACGGCTTGTAGGGTTTAGGGTTTAGGATTTAGGGTTTGGGTGTAGGGCTTCGGGTTTACGGTTTAGGATTTAGCATTTGGGGCTTAGGGAACACCCCGAACCCTAAATCCCAAACCCCCAAAACCAACCCATGACATATGATACACTGCTTTTGACGCCGTTCAAGTTCACTCCGAAGGGCCCCAAGAGGGGCTGTAGAACTCTAATGGCTACCTGGACCCCAAATAACCTACCTTCCTTCTTGGGGTCCCTTCTTATGATGTCTTTATGTAAGTTCATAAGAAAGGTAGGTTATTCGGGGGTTAAGGTACAGTCTGGGCATTTGGGGTATGTTGCGGGCTGCTGCGAACTCGGGTTTCCCAAACCTTGTGTGTTGCAGGCTCCTTCCCATGGATTCCAGCAGCCCCAGGCCCCACTTCAACGCATCGTGTCCATGAAACCCCGAAGAGGGAAACCTGAAAGCACCTTGACCCCTGAACCTCCCCGAACCCAAAGCCCCTAAAGCCCTAGAGCCCTAAAGCCTAAACCCTAAACCCAGAGCCCCTAAAGCCCTGAAACCTGAATCCCTACAGCTTTGCAGCTCGGACCTAGGACCCTAAAGACCTAGATCGGGGCCATGTCTGCCACCTCTTCTCCGGCTCGAACATCTTGGACAAGTCCACGGGGAAGATGGTGCGCCTAATTCCAAGGTTTGGGGCCTTCTACGGTTTAGAGGTTTAGAGTTTAGGGTTTGGGTTGTAGGGCTTGGGAATTAGCATCTAGGGTCTGCTTGGGCTTTGTGGTTTGGGATTCCGCATCTAGAGTTCAGGAGGCTGTGCAGCGTGCGTTGCGACACCTTCATCCTATCGCAAAAATGGCTTGCGGCCAAGCTGCCCCGGCACGTTCGGAGGTTCCACCGGTATGTCATCTGCTTCTCCGTAAAGGTGGGCAATGATGGCTGGAGCAGCAAGGCTGGATCAGAGGAAATTTTGCTTCAACAGCGCTTGAGATGCATGCACAAGGCACTCCACAGCGCTGGATGGCCTCTGTCTAAAGGCTCTTCGTCCTCATACCCCACACCTGCAAGCTCAGCGTTCAAGCATCTGCCATAGTATGAGCGTAGATGTGCACGATGACCGGTTGATGCCAAGCTTCGATGGCGCAGCGGGGGAGCTATGCGAAGAGCTGATGCAAGACCTGAACTCGTGTCGTCTGCCTTGGCTTCGGATCACCGACCAGTCCTCCCAGAAAATGCAGAAAAGAAGCTTGAAGCTCATTCTGAGGACTAGGCCCACATTGAATGCACTTCACAATCGTCCATGGGGCGAAACTTGAGCATCTGTGCCTGACGTTCCAGCTGGAGCTGCACAGCTGGACCGCACATGTCAGTTGCAGGATGTAGAAAGAAGTGTCCAGCCCTGCGTTCCAAACCCTGCATGCATCCGCCTTGTTCGCAGCCGTCGGCGCGATGCCCAGCTGGTCCAAGTACCGATTGAAGTATTCATCCTGGTCGTATCTCTGCATCACGGCTCCGAACTTTCTTGCTGTATCTCAGGGGCTTCGCAACAAAATCACGGGCTCCAAGGTCCTGCACTGCATTGAGGATGTCTTGCTGGCCTGCAAGGCTCCGAGTTTCAAAAGGCTGATGCATGTACATAAGCATCCACTCTGTCTTTTTTAACATAGACGAGCACACGCATGCTGAGTATATTCAAGAAGAGGGAGCAGAGGGAGAGACGGAGCGAGACAGAGAAGAGCAAGAACCATCCTGCCACTCACAGGGCTCGGGCTGTGTCCAGATAAGTTTGCTCCACTCTTCAAGGGGATCACGACCTGGGCCGAGTGCAGACTAAAAGCCTTGGGCAGGCGAAGGTGGGGGTGTGCGAGTGAGCCTCCATAGCTCGCAACATGGTTGCGTCTGCCATCAAAAACCCATGCTCACTACCGACAACGCAACGAAGATATGCGGTCTCGGTTCTGGTTCTTCATGAGCTACTGATAGAGGTTCTGCATGCCGAAACTGACATCATCGTGAGCGAGAGCCAAACAGCCAGAACGTAAAGATGTTGGATGCCTTCAGTTCAAATCTCAACTCCAATCCTTGCGATGTCTCCATCAGTTGCAGCTGCACACGACACGAAAGGGGAGTAGGGGACCGTCAGTCAGGTTCAGTCTCAGAGAGAGAGAGGCCGAGGCAAGAAAAACATTCGAAAGATGCAACGGAAGCTTGGCAGACATTTGGACTATGTGCTTCCACTGCTTTCTCACAGAGCTTGCTATCAATCTGGTTCTCGGTTCCTAGAATCCTAGAAGATAAGTGTCTTTGTTTCTAAGAGTCTGTGCAAGCAGAAGACACCGTGCCAGCGCAGAGCACCTGACCAAAGGCCTTCGACGGCATCTGATCTGCTAGAGGTCATGGCTGGGATTGGCCGCACGCACCTTCTCCACCCGAACATCTTCCACAATAGCTCGCGCTGGATGCAATAATGCCGCTGTTGGGCCCTGTTTGGGAAGTGCCTTCTCCTGGATCACCCCATCCGCGGCCACAGACTTAAGCCAAATACCCGGAACGCCCTGACCAGGTTGATTCGCTCCGTCTGGCATGACGGAGCCTGGCTTGTCTGGCAGCGTCAGCACTTGATACTCAGCGTCGCACAGCACGAGGGCAGCAAAATGATCGATGGCTAAGCCTGTCTCACCCGGATGGCGTCGCAGCATCTCGGCAAAATCGGTAGAGCGGAGAACACCGTTACTCTGAACACGGTCGTGATGCGGACAAAGGAGTCCTGGCAAAAAGCCCAAACCGGGAACACGAATATACTCCCACTCGCGCCTCTCGCCAGTTGACGAAGCTTCACCAGGAGCCTTCTCTGCGGCTGCACCCTTTCCCGCCAGCATGATGTCCCGATACCAATCCGGATCCATGCTGTCCGAGTGCAAAGCGTCGAACCAGCAACCGGCTCCGGCCGAGCCACCACACAGAACCGCCCCTCGGCCCATGGCCCGGCGAAGCGGCTCAACCATCGCGGCCTTGTGCCAGCGGTCCACCGCGAACAGGGTGTTCCCGCCTGAAACGAGGATGATGTCTGCACCGTTTATGGCTTCGTCAACCACAGCTGGCGTCGGCGTGCGGCATGCCACGTCTAAGATGTTGATGACCACGCCGCGATCCGCAAATGCCCCTGTCTGCTTCTGCCTAAATGAGGCTATGTCATATGTAGCCGTGCCCAAGTAGAGAAGCCTCACCTCGGAAGGCTGTTTCTGAGTCAGTTGCAACACAGCATTGACCACAGGTGCCTCGCCCATCATTGCCACACCAGCTCCAGCCAACACTGCACGAATGCACGGCGGGCCGACTGCCGCCATCTTGGCTTGCAACCGCTGGAACCTAGAAGTGGTCACGTGTGCTGCACAGGAATCCGTCTGCATGAAAACATATATAACATACCCCTGGTATTCTGTGTGACTATCAGGGATGCGTCGACGCTTGCAGTGTTTGCGACCTCCATGGAAGCTAAGTCCTACGTCGCCTCTGCCATAACATGTGCGAAAGCTCGGCTAGTTAACGAGGCATGCTGCACAAGTGTACAAACGCGAATCGCGGACTTCTTTAGGAGGGCAGAATTCAAAACTCAACAAATCAGCTTGCTGCAAAGCTTTGAGCCTCTGCAGCTCGTTTCGCATGGCTCAGAAGATCCTAGCTGCAAGAAGCACTGCCAGTTCCAAGCTCCTGCTACACCACACGACACGAATGGTGAAGGACGTTGTACATCTGATTTGAGCAAAGATGATTCGTTGCGCTGCCTCGCTAGATGCTATACCATACTGTTCTATACTGTACCGTACTCTACTCTACTGCACTATGCGGTACTGTACTATACTATACTATAAAGTACTACCCAGTCAGTAAATCGCTAAATTGAATTCAATTCAGTGGGAAGCGGAGCCCTGTTCCCCTCCGAGGCCTTGGAATTGCGAGCGCGGTCTTACCCCAAGGAAGGCAAGTCCACAGGCACACGCCCAAGCTCAACACCCAGGCGGCGCGAGAAACAGATGGGGACATCAAGGCACAGTTGTCGTAGTGGTGATGTATCTGTGCTAGAAGACTAGGGGTAGTCAGTATAGTAGCAGTGGCAGCAGCAGCAGCAGCAGCAGCAGCACAAGTAGCGGTGGTGGTAATGGTCGTAGTAGTAGTAGTAGTAGCAGCAGTAGTAGTAGTAGTTGTTGTTGTTGTTGTAGTTGTTGTTGTAGTTGTAGTAGTACTAGAAGTATGTGATAGTAGTAGTAGCAGTAGTAGTAGTAGTAGTAGCAGCA